TTGTCAGCCAGTGGAGGTATCTCGGAGGAAGTGGGAATGGATGGGAACATGGGTTTTTGGAAAACATTCAAGCAAATGTCGGTGGAAGTGGGTTCTGGGATCATGAACTCTTCATTTGAGAGACAGTTTTTGCAGGTATCTACAGATAATGGAATTATTGGCAGAGTGAGTATCTATTTGTTTACTGCATTTTTATCCTGTCCTTTCTTCCCAAAAGCTCAGTGTGGTATACATGGTCTTCTCTCCCACATTTCCCCCTCACTATGAAATAGGATAGGCTGAGAGGTTTGATTGCTCACCCAGTAAACTACGTAGTTTGAGTTTACTATACCCAAGGCCTTCTCAGTTCTAGTCTGACATTTTAACAGTACACGTGACGGAAAGATACAGTATTTCAGAAGAATTCTATCCATAAGTCAGTTTAAATAATTGCTCCTGTCTAAGAATTCCATCTTAACATGAACATTAATTGTAACCAGCATTTTACGTTTCCTGTTTCTTGCAGCTTTGTGGCTGTTTCTTCTTCTTCTGCGATTTCTTGCTCTTACTTCCCTTTAATCTTTTCTTACAGCTGCTTGTCATACCACTTTCCTCCCCAGGTGTGCCTGGTTCTTTGGAGATGTCTGGAAAGGCAATGAAAGTTTTCAGCAGATTCCGATTCATTTCTGTTTCAGTTCCTGACTCATCCAAAGAGATGGCAAAAGTGTAGGTTAAGAGTCAGGGACCTTCATCATCCCATGACATGGAAAAGATTTCATGGGGCTGGGCTTTATGGGGTTCTTCTTCAAATAAAGATGTCTGGAACAAAAGTCTGAACAAATACCATCTTTACAAGACTCTGCATCCAGATTTGTGAGGGGGGAAAAAGTCCAAGTTTTTTTAATAGAAGGGAAATAATAATATTTGCATATTTGGAGAGCTAACCAAATACTCTGTTTTTGCTGTGTGGTGAAACTTATAATTACTTGCATTTACAGACGTGTGCATGCTGCTTTCTTTACTGCACATACACTAGGGCAGTGGTCCCCAACCTTTCTAAACCACGGACCAGTTGGGGAAGATGGGGCACCCCCCCGCGCTTGTGAAAGGGTGGAGGGCACTCATGTGGGGGCATGTACTTGTGTGCATGTGTGATGGGTGGGGCGCTTGGGGGCACTGATGTGCATGTGCAAAGGGGTGGGACGCTCATGCAGGCACACGCATGCATGTGCAAAGGGGCTGTGCGGGGGGCGTGCATGTGGGGGGTTGGAGATCCCTTTCCTCAGCCCAGTCCAGGCCATGTACCGGCATCAGACCGTCGACCGGGGGTTTCTGACCCCTGCACTAAGGGATCCCTCCTGGATGCTGGAAAGCACAGCTACAGAAGCCCTATACACTACAGTATATAGCAGGCATGTCCAACCCGCGGCCCCTGGGCCGCATGCGGCCCAGGTCCACTTGTAATGCGGCCCAGGGCAATTATTTATTTTTTAAGATGCTGGGAGTTGTACTGTAGTTCCCAGCAAGAGGAGGCAGCCGGTGACCATTTCCAAGCCCTGGCTTCCCTAGCAGCTCTGCTCCACCCTTCCCCGC